TGGACAAGAATAAAAACACTTAGTTTATGTATAATACTTCTCCATATAATCTATATATAATATACATATATATATATATATATATATATATATACAGGGTGTCCGGTAACTAACGGACCAACGATTACAAATGGATTCTTTGGTCAATTTGGGAACGATTTTTCTTCAGCGAAAATGTCAAAAAAGGTCATCATTTTTTACAACTTTCCAATATTTGTCATTATGTGTCTTTATAACTAAGCCTCAAATTAAAATTTTATTATAGTAAACTCTACCTGAAATTAACTGAAGAATGTAATTATGTTAGACTTTTAACTCCAAAATCTTTAGTTTTCAAAAAACCCATTTTTTTCAATCTCTTATAACTCGAAAATTATTGACTTCTCAACATTTTTGCTAAGAAAAAATCGTCTCCAAATTAGCCAGAGAATTCGCTCTTAATCATTGGTCCGTTAGTTACCGGATACTCTGTATATATATCTCGTTCCGAGAAAAAATGAAAATAATCAATTACTATGCACGATCTAATAATCATAGATTTTCCGAGAATAGAACAATCCTAAACGTGTTGTGTAAAACGTGTAATCGTAAATCTTGCAAAGATCTTACTTTATTCTTCTCGAACCTTGGAAATCTCCGCTGTTGATATCAAGATAAAAAATTATTCAACAAATAATAGAGCAAAAAAGTAATGCAAAGATCAAACAAACAGAGTTTGCTCTCTAATCCGACGTATGATTTTCTTCATCATTAATATTTCTATCGACATTAAGAAATATATTGAAAATAATTAAAATGATTAGAAATCTCTCTTTCACACACACACAAATCATTGTCTTGCATTAGTACAAAATCAGAAGCTAAGTAACCTAAATGAGTAAAAAATTACCAGCTTTAAAAGTGTAACGCATTTCTAGCTGGTAATATGTTTATACACACATTTAATCTAATTACATGGTTGAAATATCTGGAACGGAATTACTTCCAAACTGTGCTAATTAATTCAGTCAAACAACCAAACTCATTCACAATATATATATATATATATTATATATATATATATAGAATAAATGTATAGAATTTGTTTTGAAAGTACTACTCTACTCTATGTATATTTATCAATGTTGCTACCTGAATGAATTTATACATTATTCAACAAATATACATAATATTATCAATCATTATTATTACAGATATGACAAAATATGACATGATTATAATAAATGAATAAGTAAAATATGCATAACATTTGTACACAATTTTTAATTTTAATTTCTCACTCACAGCTAACTGTTAATAAGTTATAACAGTAAAATTAAAGATATTTATTACTTATTGTTATATATTTATCATTCAATTAATCTTTATTTTCCATTCATAATTTTACAATTTTGTCCTTTAATTTTTTATTTTTTTATTATTTAATTTTTCATTATTTAATTTTTTTATATCTATAAAAATAAGATGTAGAATTTATATAAATAGCGCATGTTGGATCTCGTATTATTATATAAAAATTAATAGTAAACAATTCTCATTTCCTATATTTAAATTCCTTTTTGCTTCGTTTAATTATTCTTATAAGGTATAATTTCATGACACATCAAGAAATCAATTAAATAAATTTGCTCTACTCAGTAACATCAAAATCATCTGCGTACATTGATGCTTGTGCGCATGTTTATAGTGTGTAATTAAAAATACATTACATCATCAATCACTTTGTATGTACCTATAAATACAGTTAAAGTGTCGATGTAAAACAGTTGTCGAATCTAAGTGGAAGGAAACACAGAAACACAAAAAGTGCAATTTATATTCCACAACAGCAGAATGAAGACTCTCGTGATAATTGCCTGTCTGCTGGTAAGTAAAAAATAATACATAAATTAGCAGTTTCTCCAAACCAATATAAAATAACAAAAATAATTTTATATTTAAGAAATTATTTTATACAATATTTTTTTACAAGTCATAAAATAAAATCTAAAATAGATTCAATTTTCGCGCTTCTTGTATTCTTGAATTTTGGAATTTTGATACATCATTATTGCAACTACAGTAAAGTCTTTTTACAAATTTAACCTCCCGTTAATTTTAATACCTCTCTATACGTATTTTTGCGAATTACGGTATACACAAAAAGTTAATAATAATACTAATAATAATAAAAATAAAATAGTATATAATAAATGTGAATAATTCGAAAATGTGAAGAAAATATTTTTTTCAGACAATTTCCTACGCCGCTGATCCTGAAAAATTGAAGGCATTCTATAATAATTATCAAACTTGCCTCGATACACTCAGTGCGCCGGGTGAGTAATATTGCAAAAATATTATGATTACAAAATTATAAAATATCATATACATATATTTATTGAATAAAGTTAAAAAAATAATTTTTTAATACTTTACAGCTTTCGAATAGTTTTATTATAAGGTCTTCATTACAAGATCTTTAATATTTTTCTTTCAAAATGAAAAAGAGAGTGTAGACTATAGACTAGTAATATTACTACATTGAAATATAATTTAATAATAAAATGCAACAAATAGTTTTGCATAGAAGATAATATTAGACAAATAAATTGTATATTTATATATTTTTAAATACGTTTTCTTTATCGATTTAATTGTCGATTAAATTACAAATAAAATATATAAAAATATATTAATAAATTTATAATTTATATATTTTAGAATGGACCGCACCAGTGATGAAATGTATGCTCCAAAACATGGAACTGGTACGCATATATACATTTCTTATAGATAAATCATCATATACAGATGAAATGTATATAATTTATTCAGACATTTTAAGATAAAAGTGCTAATATCATTTTACTTTGTACATTGAAAAAAATAAAGTATAAAACAACATTACTGTGTCATCTAATTTTTATATAATTTTTTACATTTTTCACTTGTGTTACAATTAAATCATAGAAATAATCTTTAAATTAATAATAAAAATGCCTTCTCTTTTATCTCTTTTAAATTACTAATATGTTTTGATTAAATCGTGTATAGCTTAAACGATTTTTGTAAATTTATAGATTCTTTCAATTTGTTAATAATAAATATTATTATTTTACAATCTTTCAGATTGATGACGAAGGTATAATTAAAAAGATGAACTTTTAACCGGATTTGAAAAAATCATCTCTGATGAAGGTAACTTAAATCAAGCAAAAACGCTGGTTTCATCGTGTTATGAGCAAGGTAAATTAAATATATTTAATATTTAGTAAAACATATTTTGTATCATATTCACAAATCAAAAAGATTTTTTATATGAAATAAATATTCTTTATATCAAATAAATATTTATTTGTTTCAAATAAATTATTTATTTGAACGTACTGAACTAAATATTTGTTAATTTAATAATTTTTTGCAGTGCATATACAATATTATATTACTTAATTTTATTTTTAATTTATTATTTCTATATTTTGCTTATACCGTAATTATACATATATATATACATATATATATATATATATATATATATATATATATATAATTACGATAATGGTCAATTAATCGCTGCAAGAAACTAACAATTTTTTATGTCTCTATTTTACATAATTAGAAATTGGAACTGAAACAAACTTTAATTTTTCCATGTTATTATATATGTATAATATATACGTATTATATAATAATAATAATAATATATATTAAAATTATACATAATAAAATCAATATAATTTTATAAACTTGTTTTATTTCAAATTGCAGGATATGAAGGCGATGGAAGAAATGATGAAAAGACAATGATGATTATACAGTGTGCAATAAATATAAAAGATCTATTCGATAAACCCTAATAAAAAGAAGAAGTACATATCATCTTTTATGTAACATTTATATATAAAGTACTAGCAATGCAGCAATCCTGTGTGCATGATTAAATATTATATAGTACATCTGATATAATAAAACCTTTTTAGGGAGGCTTTATATAAAATTTTATCTCATGACTTGTAATTGATTCCCTTTTATGTCTATATTTCAATAAAGTATCATCCTCTCTGAGAATGTTATAAAAAACCTGTCTCTTACATTAATACAATCAAATACTACTTATAATACAATCAAAATATTATATTATACATATATATAATAAAATATTATAATTATAATAACTGAAACTATTTTATATCCAGTTATGAAAATTATTTTTAATTTTTTTATATAGATACAATAAATAAAATGCGTATTTTATAAATTATTTATCAGACTCTCGTACCTATAGCATGTCTGCTCATAAAAATATTGTCTAATCATATATTAAACAATAGAATAAATAATAATGTTAATTCTTTTATATTATTATAAAATTTATATAAACTCGAAGTTTGCATTTTTCGTATTTTCGCATTTTTTGAGTGTCATATATCATTGATACATTATTGCAACCAAACAAAACAAAACTTGTATTGCTTTTAAAAAAAGGACTACACATTCCGCTTGATTATGATTTTTAGTGTTCTCACATTGCGCGTTACAGATTTAATCTCATTGCTTTTCTGACAGACCTCGTATATAAGTACCTAAATGTTTAACGTTTTGTAAAAATTATTTCTTATATGAGGCCCCAAGACTTTTATAGTATAGTATTTATTTTCTAATTTATCAGACTAATCAACAAGTTAAAAATTTCTGTTAAACAAGCTTTTAATATCGACAATTGATTCTGAGATTTGCTCGAGAAATAAACGATAAATTACCGCTGAACCATTACAGAGTAATTAATGCTATTTTTATATGTATATTCAAGTTCTTCCACTCCCTTAATTACTGCAACATCGCTAGTGTGTGTGCGTATAACTTTTTATAACGATAAAAAAATAATCAGATACCATTTCAATATGATCAACCGCAAGCCTACAAAAATTATATTTAATATATAACACGGAATTAACATAATATTATCTCGTCACATTATATAACATCATGTTACTGTTACTACGTAGATATAAATGCAGTTGAAGAAGTGATGTACAAACAGTAATCGTATCGAAGTGCGAGGTAACACCAGATCAGTGCATTTTATATTCCAAACAACAATGAAGACATTTCTACTTATTGCGTTTTTGATAGTAAGTAGAAAGCAATATACAAACTAGCAGTTCTCCAAACCAAAATATAAAACAATAAATAAAAAAATTTTATTTTTTTTAATCATTGCGCAACATATTTGATATTGCGCATAAACATTCCATATTATTTTATTTAAAGAAATATCTAATTTACTTGTAATAAAACAATATATAAATTAGAAATATCGAAATATAAGAAAGAGAAAATATATATAAAAATATGTACGACGAAATAAATTAGACTATACAGAAATAGATAATATATAAAAATCAGTCAGTACTTAAACCGTTGTTAATTGTTTTTTTTTATTACGTTACATTTGGAATAATTGTTTAAAGACTCTTCAACCGATTTGTAATTTCATGCAATATACGCGACAGAATTCTATAGGTTTGAAATAACTTCTCAAAATTGCGTGAAAATCTAAGGTAAGCATAAAGTTAATAATACTAACGGTAATAATACTAATACTAGTACTCGTAAAAATAAATACGATACATTATAATAAAATATATTAAATATGAATAATTAGTAAATGTGGAGAAAAACTATTTTGTTATATTTTTCAGACAATATCCTACGCCGCTGATCGTGAAAAATTGAAGTTATTCTATCAAATCCACCAAAAATGTCTCAAGGAACAGAATGCACAAGGTGAGTAATATTACCATAATTTAAATTTGAATTAAATGAATATAAATTATTTATATAAAATATATTCATTTTATTGAATAAGGTTAAAGAAAGATCTTTGAACTTTAAAAATTCATTACCGTTATTATAAATGTTATAAATTTATTATACATATTAGTTTTATTATAAATAATTTTATCACAAATATAATCATAATAGGCATTTTTTCTAAAATAAAATCTTCAATTTTTTTCTGAATGAAAATGTGAGTGTAAAGAAACAATTTTTTCTGTTCGAGCCAGTAATATTCCTACATTAAAATAAAATTTAATAATAAAACGTAACAACTTTTTGATTCAAGAATTCTGTTTGAAAGATTTGTAGAAAATAACATTAGACAAATTGTATATTCAAATTTTTATAACAAGTTTTGTTTACAAATTTCATTACTAAATTATAAGTATACATATAAAATTATGCTATTAAATTCATAATTAATATATTTTAGATTTTACTCCAGAAGTGGTCCGATGTATATTCTACGATCGTGAAATAGTACGTATATACATATAAAAACACACACACACACAATTACATACTTTTATAACATATACACATATCAAGCATGTCAAGTGAGCCATCTTTACAAAAAATCAATAACATATTCTTATATATAACCGAAGGCTTTAAGAAATTAAAGTATAAAAAATCTATAAAAAAAAGAATTTTTAAATTAATTATGTTATAATATAAATTATTAATATAATTTTATTTCCAGAAGAAAAGATAAATCCTTTTTACTTACAAAATTAGCACAATTGCAAGAATTATTACTATATAATTATTTTACTATACGTATAACTACAAATTTTTTCAAAGTTCGTATTTTGACTCGTTACTTGTATTGAAAATAATTGTTCTTGTGTAATCAAAATTTTCGAAATGCGAAGCAAACAAACAATAATCAACAATTTCTCAAAATTATGACATATAGAGCAATTTCAAACTCAGAATCGTATTAAAAATCTATGAAATATGACTATAACTTTGTTTAAATATTAGTTTTTAATAAAGTGTGTATAATTCATTTAATTTATATATAATACTAATTTATTAATTCCAGGTTGACGATAAGGCTGTAATTATAAAAGATAAACTTTTTACACATTACGGATATATAATTTCCGATGAGAACAAATTAAATCAAGCAAAAGAGATCTTTAATAAGTGTGACGAACAAGGTAAATGAAAAAAAAAGAGAGAAAATATTCTTATTGTAATAATTCATATTTTGTACTTGACATATATTAGTTCAGTTATATTATTTCTTATTATTATGTTGTTAATTATTATTATTTTTTTTATTATTATTTCTTTCATTATTATTTCTTATACATAATACTATATACATATAACGTATGCGCCTTATTTATTCTTTATACATTATTATTATAGATATTGCTTATTTCAATATTGCCACATTAATACGATAATTACCAATAAATGGTTGCAAACTTTAAACTTTAAATCATGTTTTTTTATTCTATTATCTTTTTTTATAATTAGAAATTATAATTAAAAACAAATATTCTTTTCTATCTTATTATTTATATATAATATATATATATATAATATATATATATATATATATATATATACATATATATATTATAATAATATATATTAAAATTATATGTAATATCTATTTATCAAAATAATATTATTTTCAACTTGTTTTATATCTAATTACAGCAAAACGAGCGTCAGGAACTAACGAGGAGAAGCTTATGTTAACTATTTCATGCACAATGCCAATAAAAGATCTACTCGACAAACCCCCGCAATGAAAACAAGAAGATCACTTTTTTTTCACATAATATTCATATAAAATAGTAACGATGAAGAGATAAAGTATATATAATGAGATACGAATACTTTTGATCCATTTTTTATACTAACGGGTTATTGGGAATTTTACATAACAATTTTTTTTGTCGTTTGAATTAACATGTACTTATTTTATATTATATTTAATAAAATTATAATTTTTTTGTAACAAGTTTCGAGAAAGTGTGATACTGTGCTAAAGTTTATTTTAAAATCAGAACATCATAATTTTAGATAATAAAGCAATTTTTTTTAAATTTATAATTGTACATTCTTTAAAAATTAAACATATTTACAACTAATATTATATCGTATTATATTATATTACATTATATTATATATATGTATATACATATATTATAACTAAAATTAAATTATCTTGAACACTGATATAATTTTCTAAAAAATTTTATGATTAAGGGATAAATTAAATATTTTATATTTAAAACTAAAATTGTATGCAATAATCTAAGTGTAAAAAAATGATAATAATTTAAATAAAAATTCAACTAATTAAACTATTGAGTTTTTAATTTAATCTCTATAGTTAGTGGTTTTTAATAGAAGATAAACAAATTTATATAAATCTTGTACTTTAGCGCGTCTGCTGATATAATATTCAAAAAATATTTCTTAATAATATTGTTGTATATTTCACACATAGATATTAAGATTAGCGCCTGCGGATGACACCTCCCGGCGCTCTTAAATAGCAAGAAGTCGATTCTCTGTCATCGGCTAAAGTGCTCCGATTTTCGACGTGTCATATGTACCCCCACCGGACACTAGCGGATAGCGCGCGCGTAAGAAGCAGGATCTGGAATCACTCCTGTGTGATCCTTTATCGCGAACACAATTAGCGTACCATATACAGAAATATAGTTACTCAGTTTCATATATATCGTGTAAATCATTCCATCGTTCTTCCATCACCGATCCTCTAATTGAAGGAACATAACAAATATATTTAACGCTGGGATAAAAAATAATTTTTGTTCTTTTATATTATTATAATAAAAAATTTTATAAATTCAAAGTTTGCGTTTTTTGTATTTTCGAATTTTGATATATGATTGACACATTAATGCAACCAAACAAATCAAAACTTGTATTGCTTTTAAAGGAAAAATTACTTTACATTCCGTTTGATCATAATTTTCTAGTGATCTCACTTTGCGCGTTACAGATTTAATCTCACTGCTTTTCTGACAGACCTCGTATAAGTATATTAAAGTTTTAATGTTTTGTAAAAATTACTTTTAAATAAGGCCACAGTATTTTTCAGTATAGTGTTTTATTCTAATTTATCAGACTCAAATCAACAAGTTAAAAATTCCAGTTAAATAAGCTTTCAATATCCGCAAATAATTCTTCGTAATTTACTAGAGATAACAATGATAAATTACCGCTGAACCATTACGAAGTAATAAATGCATTTTTTATATATTCAAGTTCTTCATTTTCTCCATATCTATTAATATCGCGTAGGGTATAACTTTTTAAAACAGTAAAAAAAAATTAGATATACGATATTATTTCAGTATGACCAATCCCAAGGCTATAGAAAATTATATTTTATATTTAGCACGGAATTAACATAACATTATCTCGTTACATTACATAACATCATGTTACCATTACTTTATAGATATAAATACAGTTAAAGAAATGATGCACAAACAGTAATCGAATCAAAATACGATAGATAACACCGGATCAGTGCATTTTATATTCCAAACAACAATAAAGACTCTTATGCTTATTGCGTGTTTAGTAGTAAGTAGGAAGCAATACATAAACTAGCATTCTCCAAACCGAAATATAAATCAATATAATAAAAAAATTTTATTTTTTTAATATCATTAAAGAAAATATAAAATAAATTCAATTTTTGCTTAGTATAGTTTTATATATTTATTATTGCAACTGTAATCCTGACAATTATCTCGTTAATTTTGATATCTCTACACGAATTTTTACAAACACTATTGTCACTAAATCATAATAGACAAATTACTCAGACAATCGTATGCATAATTGCATTCGCGCAAGTTCATAATGATTGGAAAGCTCGCACTGAAGAGAGAGAGAGAGAGAGAGAGAGAGAGAGAGAGAGAAAGAGAATATTTGTCAATTTTACTTTTCCAAAGTTTTCGTTTCTATCCCCTAGACAAGTAAAATTAACGATCAATGGTAATTGCCGCCAAATATGTTTTTATAGATTCTCATATTAATTCTTAAATTATTATGATTTTACAGTAAAATGAACAATATAAGTAAGAAAAATGTTAAAAAATTCTGCAGAATAAATCAAATATAAAAAATAATTTAATTTATAATTTTATGTATAATCATAAAAAAATTAATACATACATATATCATATATTTAAATCTTTATTTAAAATATTTCATTCAATATCACAATTATTATATATGAATAATATGTTGTATATAATATTATGATAATATTGTATGTGTGTGTGTGTATATTTTATATGTTCGAATATTTTCGTTACGTTATTCGTTTATATTAATTATTGCATAAAATACTATATTATATAAAAATAAATAGAATTCTGTCTCGAATATTGCATAAAATTACAAATCGGTTGAGTCTTTAAATAATTATTCCAAATGTAACGTAATAAAAAAAAAAAACAATTAACAACGGTTTAAGTACTGACTCTGATTTTTATATTATCCATTTCTCTATAATCTAATTTATTTCGTCGTACATATTTTTATATATATTTTTTCTTTCTTATATTTCGATATTTCTAATTATTAAATTATTTTATTACAAGTAAATCAGAAATATCTCGAAATAAAATAATTCATTCATTACTCGAAATAAAATAATATGGACTGCTTAAGCGCAATCAAATATTTTGAGCAATGGTATTTGAAATAACTTCTCAAAATTACGTGAAAATCTAAGGTACGCATAAAGTTAATAATACTGACGATAATAATACTAATGGTAAAAATAAATACGATACATTATAATGATATATTAAATATGAATAATTAAAAAATGCGGAGAAAAACTATTTTATTATATTTTTCAGACAATATCCTATACCGCTGATCTTGAAAAATTGAAGATATTCTATAAAAACTACCAAATTTGTCTCAATGAAGCGAACGTATCAGGTGAATAATATTACGATTAATTTAAATTTGGATTTAAATAAATATAAATTATTTATATTAAATATATTTATTTTATTAAATAATGTTAAAGAAAATTTTTGAACTTTATAATTTCATTACCGTTATTATAAATATTATAAATTTATTATGCATATTGGTTTTATTATAAATATATAATGTTATCACAGATATAATCATAATAGGCATTTTTTCTAAAATAAAGTCTTCAATTTTTCTTTCTGAATAAAAATTAAAATGTAAAAAAACAATTTTCTCTGTTGAGGCCAGTAATAGGTATTACTACATTAAAATAAAATTTAATAATAAAACGTAATAACTTTTAGATTCAAGAATTCTATTTAAAAGATTTGTAGAAAATAACATTAGACAAATTGTATATTAGAATTTTTATAACAAATTTTATTTATAAATTTAATTACTAAATTATAAGCATACATATAAAAATATATTATTAAATTCATAATTAATATATTTTAGAATGGACTCCAGAAGTGGTTCGATGTACATTTTACAAGCATGGAATAGTACGTATATATAAAAAACACACATACATACTTTAATAATATATATATATATATATATATATATATATATATAAATAGAAAATTCATGTATCATTTTGCGATATTCGCAATAATTATTGAGTTATTTAGTAAAATATCTAAACGAATAAGCAGGTAGAAAGCATTATTTGATCGAGAGGCGACGTCATGCAGCGAGCGGCGACCAATGTAGTGGCGCCGAAAAGTAAGATGATACTTTTGATATTAAGCGGCATATAACAAATAAGTCATCCGACATGCACACCGAGTCCGGCCTACAGCTTTCTAACCGCTCATTCGTTTAGATATTTTAGTTAATAACTCAATAATTATTGCGAATATCGCAAAATGATACAGAACTTTTCTATTCAGTTTAACACGCTCTATCTGCTCATTCGCGGTGGTTCGCGAATTATGGGACACCCTGTATATATCAAGTATGCCAGGTGGAGCCGTCTTTACAAAAAAATAATAACGTACTCTTATACATAACCGAAGACTTCAAGAAATTAAAGTAATTTATCTATAAAAAACAAGAATTTTTAAAATTAATTGCGTTAAAATAAATAATTAATATAATTTTATTTCCAGAAGAAAAGAGAAGCCCTTTTTACTTATAAAACAATTAGCAATTGCAAGAATTATTACTATACAATTATTTTACTATATGTATAATTATAATTTTTTTCAAAATTCATATTTTGACTTATTGCTTGTATTGAAAGTAATTGCTCTTGTGTAATTAGTATTATTCGATAATCAAAATTGACGTAAATGCGAAGCAGACAAACGATACTCGTAACAATTCCAAAATAATTTCTCAAAATAATGACATATTGAGCTATTTGAAACTTGAAATCGTATTAAAAAAAACTATGGAATACAATTTTGTTTAAATATTTTAATAAACTGCGTATAATTCATTTAATTGAAAAATAATACTAATTTATTAATTTCAGATTGACGATAAGGATGTAATTATAAAAAATGAACTTTTCACAAATTACGGATATATAATTTCCGATGAGAGCAAATTAAATCAAGCAAAAGAGATCTTTACTAAGTGTGACGAACAAGGTAAATGAGAGAGAGAGAGAGAGAGAGAGAGAAACAGAGAGAGAGAGAAAATATTCCTATTGTTAATAATTTATATTTTATACTTGGCATATTTTGTTTAAGTTATATTATTTCTTATTATCATTATGTTATTTTTTATTATTTTTTTATTATTATTTTCTTTATTATTATTTCTTATTATACATATATATGCACCTTATTTATTCTTTATACATTATTATTATAGATATTGCTTATTTCAATATTACCACATTAATACGATAATTACCAATAAATGGTTGCAAACTTTAAACTTTAAATTATGTTTTTTTTATTCTATTATCTTTTTTCATAATTAGAAATTATAATTAAAAACAAATAATCTTTTCTGTTAATATTTATATATAGTATATATAATATATATTATAATAATATACATATATTACAATTATATGTAATATCTATTTATTAAATTCAATATTAATTTGAATAAGCTGTTTTATATCAAATTGCAGCAAAACAACGGCCAGGAACTAACGAGGAGAAGCTTATGATAATTATAACATGTGCAATGCCAATAAAAGATCTACTCGACAAACCCCCCAATGAAAGAAAGAAGATCATTTTTCTTTCACATAATATTCATAAGTATTCATATAAAATAATAAAGATGAAGAGATAAAATATATATATTGTATAATGAGATAAGAATACTTTTGATCCTTTATACTAACGAGTTTTTGAGAATTTTACACAAAAATTTTTCTTGTTGTTTGAATTGACATGTTATTACTTGTTTAAAATTATTATCAAGTATTAAATGTTTTTATTTGCTTTCTTCTTTTTTTACTTAATTATTTTTCTTCGATTTGCGGAGTATTTGGTGCAAATCTGTTTTCAGTTTGCGATTGACAAATCTGTTCTCAGCTTGTTGCGTTAATTTGTCGTCGCACTGTTAGTGACAGATCTGCTCTGGTGTTACACCCAACTTTTGATGTTAGGATATGCTTTCAACTTTTTATTGCAATTGGGGCGTACTCGAGGACACAGTAGGCCCTGGATTTACAGCCGTATTTGGCAGAAAATTGTTTCCCGATTGTTAACAATTCTAGAGCAAATGGTATTAGATGGGATTATATTATTATATATATTTATATATATATATATATATATATATATATGAGTAGTAGAAATTAATCGAAATTAATCAAACTAGCGAGCAAATAATTTAACGTTTTTAGCGAGGCTCTATAAAATCTTATCTCATGACTTGTAATTGATTCCCTTATGTCTCTATTTCAATAAAGTATCATCCTCTTTGGGAATGTTATAAAAAAACCCCTGTCTTTTACATTATCTATAATACCATTAAAATATTATAAAAATAATATTTTTTATAAAAGATTATATAAAAATATATTATTAAAAAATTATCAGTAAATTATCAACATAAATTTAACTATTTATTATACATATATATCTAATAAAATATTATATTTATAATAATTAAAACTATTTGATATCCAGTTATGAAAATTAATTTTTTATAGATACAGTGAAAAATAAATGCGTATTTTATAAATTATTTACATGAATCTCGTTCTTATAAGATGATTGCTGATAAAAATATTTCCTCATCATATATTAAATGATAGAATAAACAATTATTTTAATTCTTTTATATTATTATGAAAGTTTTATATAAATTCGAAGTTTGCGTTTTTCGTATTTTCGAATTTTGATGTATCATTGATACATTAATGCAACCAAACAAATAGAAACTTGTATTGCTTTTAAAGAAAGGACTGTACTTTACATTCCACTTGATTATAATTTTCTAGTGTTCTTACTTTGCGCGCTACAAATTTAATCTCATTGCGTTTCTGATAGACCTCGTATATAAGTACATTAAAATTTAATGTTTTGTAAAAATTATTTCTTATATGAGACCACAGTACGAGTATTTCTCGTATTTCTCAGTATAGTGTTTTATTCTAATTTATCAGATTCAAATCAACAAGTTGATAATTCCAATTGAACAAGCTTTTAATATCGACAATTAATTCTAAGATTTGCTAGAAATAACAATGATAAATTACCATTGAACCATTACAGACTAGTTAATGCATTTTTTATATATTCAAGTTCTTCATTTTCCTTAATATTTATTAATATCGCGTGGTGTACAACTTTTTAGAACAATAAAAAAAATAATTAGATATACAATATTGCTCATTTCAATATGACCAATCCCAAACCTATAAACAATTTAAATTTATGATTAATATGACCAATCCCAAGCCTATAATTATATTTTATATATAACATGGGATTAATATAATATTACCTCGTCACATTATATAACATCATGTTACTATTATTTTGTAGATATATAAATACAGTTGAAGAAATGATGCACAAACAGTAATCGAATCAAAGTACGATAGGTAACACCGGATCAGTTTTATATTCCAAACAACAATGAAGACTCTTGTGCTTATTGCGTGTTTAGTAGTAAGTAGGAAGCAATACATACACTAGCCGTTTGTCAAACCAAAATATAAAACAATAAAATAAAAAAATTTTATTTTAAATCATTATTAAAAAAATATAAAGTAAACTCAGTTTTCGCTTGCTATAGTTTTGATATATCTATTATTGCAACTGCAATCTTTACAATTATCTCGTTAATTTTGATATCTCTACACGTATTTTTAAAAACACTAATATGTCACTAAATCATAATAAATAAATTATTCAGACAATCGTATGCATAATTGTATTCGCGCAAGTTCATCATGGTTGGAAAGCTCGCATTAGAGAGAAAGAAAGAGAGAGAGAGAGAGAGAGAAGGGGAGAGAGAGAGAGAGAATATTTGTCAATTTTACTTTTTCAAAGTTTTCATTTCTATCCCTTTTTTTATCCCCAAACAATTAAAATTAATAATCAACGGTAATGCCAAATGCTTTTATCATATTAATTCTAAATTATCATGATTTTATAGTAAAATAAACAACTTGATTAAGAAAATTGTTGAAAAAACTCGACAGAATAAATCAAATAAATAATAATTTAATTAATAATTTAATATATAATCATAAAAAAATAAATATATATATTTTATAAATTAAACTTCGGCTCGTATACAATTAAAATATGTGATATAATAAAAGGCCAACTTAACGAGCTTATAAGATATTAATTAAAAAATTTTTTTATTAATTTACGTCATAATATACAATAGATAAAATAAACGTTTCGACTGTACGACAGTCTTTTTCAATATCATGCTAATACGTCAAAAAATTAATTTAGTCATATCGACCTTATTATAAATACAACATTTATGAGATTATCATATGACGAACACAGTACAAAATTCATGTTTGTTGGCTGAGTTAGAGCGTCAGATGTTGTTTAAGAAGAAATAATTTTTAAAAAAAGTGTTATGTTCGTGACAAAAAATGTCATTACATAATATAACAGCATGACATACAGAAATCTGACGCTCTAACTCAAGCCAACAAACATGAATTTTGTACTGCGTTCGTCATATGATAATCTCATAAATGTTGTATTTATAATAAGGTCGATATGACTAAATTAATTTTTTGACATATTAGCATGATATTGAAAAAGACTGTCGTACAGTCAAAACGTTTATCTTATCTATTGTATATTATGACGTAAATGTCGTAAATTAATAAAAAAATTTTTTAATTAATATCTTATAAGCTCGTTAAGTTGGCCTTTTATTATATCACATATAAAAAATAAATATATATGTATTTAATCCGGATATATACATATATAAAAATATTATATATTTTATCAATTTTAATCAAATATATATATATATATATTGTTTATATCATATCTTTAAATTTATATATATATATATATATATATCATATCTTTTTATGTAAAAATTTTATTTAATATCACAATTATTATATATGTATAATATGTTGTATAAAATATTATGATAATATTGTATGTGTGTGTGTATATATTTTAATTATCGCAAAAATATTATATTATATAAAAATAAATAGAATCGTATTTATTTTTACCAGTATTAGTATTAGTATTATTAACTTTATGCTTACCTTAGATTTTCACGCAATTTTGAGAAGTTATTTCAAACCTATAGAATTCTGTCTCGAATATTGCATAAAATTACAAATCGGTTGAGAAGTCTTTAAACAATTATTCCAAATGTAACGTAATAAAAAAAAACAATTAACAACGGTTTATGTACTGACTCTGATTTTTATATTATCTATTTATCTATAGTCTAATATATTTCGTGTTACATATTTTTGTATATATTATAATTTTTATATTTCTATATTTCAAATTATTGTTTTATAGATCAGATATATTCTAAATAAAATAATATTGAATGTTTATGCGCAATATCAAATATTTTGCGCAATAATATTTTAAGGGGTTAGGCCACTGTAGAGCGCCCAAAAAAGGCCTATTTTTGATAATTTTTTACTATAAAACAAAAACAGTGATAGAAAATCCTTTTTAAGTACTTAATCTTACATACTTCGAAATATATAAAAAAAATTTTTTTGCATTTTTTTTTTACAAAATGGCGGTGACAGAGCTCTGCAACGATGACCACTCGTTTCGGACAGTGCCTTACGGGCGACCTACTAGCTGCTCCAATTTTTGCTGTAGAACAAAAAACCAAATTTTTTTTAATTCTTTATATCATTAGCTAGCGAACTACGTACGGAAATTAAAAAATAATTGTTTTTGTAAAAATGACACAAGTTTGAAGAAAAAGTTTCATTTTTTGACGAAAAATTTTGCACAAAATTGTTTGTAAAAAAAAAAGTTTACAACGGAACGTAAAATCCGTACGTAGTTCGCTGACAAATGTATCTTAGAAGCTACAGTTTAAATTTGAAGTAAATCGGTCAAGATTTGTGGGAGTTATGAGGTCGCCCAGTTTGAAAAAAGTGATTTCGAGAAAAACGCGTTTAAAGTTTTATGTAACTTCCAAAAATGACACTTAGGAATTTGTTTCCGTTATAAAACCTTTTTTTTCTTATTTCTAAGATCTTAAAGCATCATTTAAGCAAAAAAAAAAAAAACGATTTTTTGAAATTTCTACAGTGGCCTAACCCCTTAAATAACTTCTTAAATTTGCGTGAAAATCTAAGGTACGCATAAAGTTAATTATACTAACGGTGATATACTAATGATAAACATAAAAATAATACATTATAATAATATATTAAGTATGAATAATTAGAAGATGAGGAGAAAACTATTTTCTTATATTTTTCAGACAATATCCTACGCCGCTAATCTTGAAAAAATGAAATTATTCTATCAAACCATCCAAACTTGTTTCAAGGAAGAGAATGTACAAGGTGAGTAATATTATATTATACGATTAAATGAAATTTGGATTTGATTAAATATAAATTATTTTTATAAAATATATTTATTTTATTGAATAAGATTAAGGAAAGATTTTTGAATTTTAAGATTTCATTACCGTTATTATAAATATTATAAATTTATTATACATATTAGTTTTATTATAAATAATTTTATTACAAATATAATTATAATAGGCATTTTTTCTAAAACAAGTCTTCAATTTTTCTTTCTGAATAAAAATTAGAATGTAAAAAAAGAATTTTCTCTGTTCAAGCCAGTAATATTACTACATTAAAATAAAATTTAATAATAAAGCGTAACAAATTTTTGATTTCAGAATTTTATTTGAGAGATTTGTAGAAAGGAACTATAAATTAGACAAATTATATATTCACATTTTCATAACAAAAAAAAGTTTTATTTAAAAATTTAATTACTAAATTATAAGCATACATATAAAAAATTATATTATTAAATTCATAATTATTTATATTATTAAATTCATAATTAATATATTTTAGATTGGACTCCAGAAGCGGCTCGATGTGTATTCTACAAGCGTGGATTTGTACGTATATATATAAAACATATACACACACATATACATACTTTTATAACATATACACATATCAAGCATATTAAGTGAGCTATCTTTACAAAAAATTCATAATATACTCTTACATACATAACCGAAGACTTTAAGAAATTAAAATAATTTATCTATAAAAAAATTTGTTTAAATTAATTACGTTAAAATAAATGATTAATATAATTTTGGTTATACTTCGAGGAAAAAGATAAGTTACTTTTTACAATAAAACAATTAACAATTGCAAGAATCATTACTATATAATTAAATTTATTATATGTATAAATATAATTTTTTTCAAAATTTATATTTTGACTTATTGCTTGTATTGAAAGTAATTGCTCTTGTGTAATTAGTACTGCTCGATAATCAAAATTATGAGCAATTTAAAACTTGGAATCGTATTCAAAAACCTATGAAATATGACTATAATTTTGTTTAAATATTATTTTTTAATAAACTGAGTATAATTAATTTAATTAAAAAATAATACTAATTTATTAATTCCAGGTTGACGATAAGGGTGTAACTATGAAAGATAAACTTTTTAAAAATTAGGATATATAATTTCCGATGAGAGCAAATTAAATCAAGCAAAAGAGATCTTTATTAAGTGTGAGGAACAAGGTAAATGAGAGAGAAAGAGAAAGAGAAAGAGAGGGAGAAAATATTCCTATTGTTAATAATTTATATTTTGTACTTGACATATTCTGTTTAAGTTATATTATTTCTTATTATTATTATGTTATTTTTTATTATTATTATTCTTATTTTTATTTCTTTATTATTATTTCTTTTTATACATATATATGCGCTTTATTTATTTTTATACATTAATATTATGGATAAACTTTAAATTATAAATCATGTTTTTTTTATTATTCTATTATTTTTTTCATAATTAAAAATTATAATTACAAACAAATATTTTGTTCTATGTTATTATTTATATATAGTATATATATATTATAATAATATATATTACAATTATACAGTAATATCTATTTATTAAAATAATATTATTTTCAATAACCTGTTTTATATCAAATTGCAGAAAAACAAGGACCAGGAACTAACGAGGAGAAGCTTTTAAAAATTATAACATGCGCAATGCCGACAAAAGACTTAATCGACAAATAAAAGAAAGATCATTTTTTCTTTCACATAATATTCATATAAAATAATAACGATGAAGAGATAAAGTATATATAGTAATGAGATAAGAATACTTTTGATCCTTTCTTTATACTAACGGGTTATTGGGAATTTTACACAAAAATTTTTTTGTCACTTGAATTAACGTGTACCTACTTTATATTATATTTAATAAAATTATAAATTTAAAAAATTATATAATAATTTTTTTGAAACAAAGTTTCGAAAAAGTATAATACTGTTCTAAATTATTACTGCATTGCTTGTAATCACTCAAGAATAAATTCAATATTTTTAACAATAATATCAAACATTTACTCACCCATTTACTCCTCTTAAATAAAATCCGTACTGATTAGTCGCCTGTTAGTTAACTCGCTGAATCTAAAAATAGAAATTAAAAATAGAAATTAGCTACAATTTTTTGACTTACATGGAGTAAGAAACAAAAAAATAGTATTTAAGTAGTCGTTTGTATTTTAAATCATATAATATATCTACATATCAAAAAGCATTATCATGATAAAAATTCAGTGTTGTTGCATATTTATTAAAAGATTTTATAAAAAGCCTATGAAGAGTGGTGTCACTTCTAATTTGCGTAAATCTGAAAATCAATATTTCTTACATATTCTGAACCTTGAATTTACTTATATGTTAAATACTTCCGCGTACTTGACAATAAGAATACGCTCATATCCCATGTTTTACTTTTTTATCTGAATCATAAACATAACAAACAAATGAATAGAAATAAAAAGTAATTAAAACTGTAAAATTAAAATTTGAATTCCTTATTCAAATTAAATGTCCACGTTTCATTACTTTACATAAATTTAAAAAAGGAGTACATTACTGTCATATTGTATATATTTTTTCAAAATTCTATTTCAAATAGGTACCAAACAAATAAGAATATAAGACTTTCATTGTTAATTCATGTTGCATATTGTACAAAGTGTTATAAAAAATTATTTGAAATTGTCGCTTCTTTCTTGCAGAAATCTATCATTCTGGCATAATTAATTCTACCTCAATAAAATTTTCTCGCGACTTTCTATACTATATTATTTTCTTAATCTTATTAAAAATTGCACAGAAACCGCAGGAGCTTAAACATTTACTCACAGAAATATAAAGAGTCAAACAAATCATATATAGTAGGCCAACTGAACGAGCAAATAAATAAGGTGTAAAAATTTTTATTAATAGTTAAATAATAAATTAACATTCCGTTACAGAATCGATATAAATTGTAAACGTTTCGACTGCACTACAGTCTTTATCAATACATAAAAGTTAAATATTAAAATACAAAGTTAAATGTTAAAAATACAAAGTTAGTTAAATATTAAAATATAAAATTGAAACGATTCTTCGCTGTTGACCAATAGATATGCAAGGCGATTGGTCTGAGATGCCAAGTTATGCGACATTTGAGCATGCTACGGATATAATACGCGAATTAAATCAATGTCAGAGAAATTAAAAAATCTTTCAACTTACATTATCGTTTTAACAAGTCCTTTTCCCCGATAGTAGTATAATGGCAGGTATGGCCCGTCAAAACAAACCCCCACCACCGACCCGTCTGGCGCCGGGTCTTATCTTATCTTTCCCCCACCACCGGCGTCTGGCTTTTCCGAGTGTGGGTGTTAGGGGGAAAGGGTGTTGGGGGAAAAAAAAATGGCGACTGGCCCCGAAAGGTGGGGATGAGAATTTTTATTTTTTATTTTTTCTGATTTTCTCTGGATTTGAACCCGGGACCTCCGTGTTTCCGAGCAGGGTCCTAGTATGTTGAGCTAAACGAGATCTTACTAGTCTAAGGATTAGATGTGGTATTTAAGCTAAAGTTGCGTAGAGTACGGCATGGGGGTTCGGGTATACGTATGGCAAGGATAGCTCGTCGAATCAAATGGTCGATATTGGACGGGGGTGGGGTAAAAACAGTTCGGGTATACGTATGGCAAGGATAGCTCGTCGAATCAAATGGTCGATATTAGACGGGGTGGGGTAAAAACATTTTGGCCAAGAAAAGCGTCGTGCGGTCGACCGGTGGCAGGTAGTAGCTGACAATGGCGTAGGGTAATAAAAAAGAACACGCAAATATTTGTACAGGCGAGCATTCCGACTCGCGTCACGATAAAAAATAATAATACATCGTCGTAGATTAGAAAGATGTCAGATAAAATTTTATTTTAAAATAACTCGCTGCTTAATGAAGGTAAACAGGAACATGCATGTGGAGGAAATTTCTGGAAAGAGGAAGTGAAAGAAAATTGAACAATAGTTTTAAAAGTACAAATATGGATTATATTTAAAATATTTTTACAGAACAAAATTTATTTATTCATACTAAAATTCATATTATATATTGTTATAATTCGCTTATTTTTTGTGAGTAAAAATTTTACGAAATAAGTGTATGATTAAACGATCGTTATATTCACAATCTTCGGAAAAAAGAGCGAGAAACTGATTAAGATTATAACCGCTGCACATATAATATAAAAATACACAGCAGTATTGTCCGCAAGTCTTAGAAAAAATTCCTTGTAATTGTTGAATATTCCAACGATGGATGATGGAGTTTCGTCGAAGTCGGATGAGAAATCCTGGATACAAGGGGGGCAATCCGTAGCTGTCGAAATAAGTGGCTGTACCGTGTTCATCGAGGTAGAAGGCGATCCAATGTTCTCCAGGTCGATCGTGATTGTCGGTGTTAGCGACGATAGCCGTCGACCTCGTCCACACCCTCGGAACTCTGTCGGCTGCATAGACTCCAACATGTCTGGCATCGAGATGATGCAATGCTTGTAGAATTTCGCGAGAGTTCATTTTTTTTTTGTCCCGAATACGAACGAGTGTACGGTATTATTTGAACAATACCGGTTTTTACCTCTTTCGATAATGCGTCTTCTTCTATCTTGAGTTGTTTTGAGAGGTTTTCAATGTCAGTTTGCGTCGAGATGGAAATTGTTTCGTTCTTGTCCGTCAACGTCGATGACGATTCAGAAATCACAAATCTCTCTTCTTCTTCTTTTTCAATCTGCTGTTCGTTGCTTTGCTGATTTTTTTCCTCTATTTGTATTTTAGTTATATTCTCATTTACATCGCAAGAAACGGCGGTTTCGTATTTATCGTCGCTATCGTCGAAAGTAATTTCCCAACTTTCGTCAGAACTACAAGTAGCTTCAGTAGAGGTTGAAACGTTCTCGCAATTATTTTGCGCACTTAGCCAGCATTTTAATTTATAAGCATTGTATAACGCGCAATGAAAGGTTCCAAATTTTCGAATCCCGTGATGACCGCAATATTGTACGATATCCTCCTCATCCGGTAGATTTTTAAATGCTGGTGAGGTACCCTCCAAATTATTTATATCTCTGGAAAGTAAATTCCTCAAGTAGTTTGCTTTTTCGTTACCTCTGACGTAAATGCAGCGCGCGTGTCTTGCAATTTCGCGGAGATACGAGGTAAAATATTTCGGATTAACTGAGCCGTCGAACCACTCGATGCCGTGATAATTTCGTGAGAGCCAATTGTTTTCTCGTCTTGCTTTTGCGGGTAATTTTCCAAACGCGTATGGTGGCATCATAATCCAGTGCTCGACAATCGGAGTATCGATCGCGACAACGGCGACTTCCTTCGCGATAAATTTATTGGCTTCATCGCGGAAACCTTGTATGTCGACGACTATGTCCATATTGTGAGATTTTCGTTGATGAGGTACAAGCTCTTAGCGAAACGTGCGCGTTTGGTTGTGTCTCGTACAAAACTGAATTTATTCTAGCGCGTTACATAGTTTCCACTCCGTGAAAAGTGTCATCGAAATTTCCAAAGGAAGAGGAGGGGGAAAATTTTCTAATCGCGTATTACATTACGGTGTATGAATACATGTTGGTGAACGAGTGTTAAAAGCTAACCGGAAAAATCGACGATAACTTGACGCGATGCATCGATTTCTATGACATTATCGAATTCGGCGTAAACGATACAATTAATTGTTTCGGTGAGCGCCTTCTCGAATCTCGCTTCTAACCGTAGACTTCCGTGTTTCACGAGATTCCAATGACCGGCGCAATTAGCGGATAGATCGGGTGTAAGATCAAAAGCGAATAACGTATATCCCCGAGAATAATCATCTCTACTTATAGAATTTCCCTCGTTCAAAAAATGGATACCCGTCCCTGAGAAGAGCGTATGATAAGCTTCGATGTAAAGCGGTTCGCGAGACGAGAAAACCGGTTGTAACGGTCTACTGGGTATTTGTGTACCGTCGACGTATAGCGAGAAGAAATTTATTCCGTAATTTTGGAAATTAAACGGATTCAATTTTCTGTCACCGTTAAACGCTTTATTATCGACGAAACCTACTATTATTCGTTTCGGCAATTGTCCCAGTATTACATTATCTAACGATTCACCCACAACCCCGCTGTGAATCGTGAATGTTTTAATTTCAACTCTCGTAAGCGGATACTTGGCGGTAACTTTGCTCAGCATTCTAGCATGCGCTAGTAATACTCCGGAGCTTATTTTCGCTCTTCTCACCATTAGACTTGCATCGAGTATACGAATTTTCGACGTGCAATTAGTTTCTATAAAACAAAACGTATCTTTCGAACGCACGAGTCTCAACCGCACCTCGACGCCATTAATTAAGAATTTATCCTGATTGAAAACGTCGCAATGGAGGTGACCTATAAGATCTAGCGCGCGCCCTCCGCGTATGTAACGAGCTCGTCTCGCTATAGCGGTATTGCCTTCCGCTCCTGCCGTATCGTCCATGTGTCCGGGTGTATCCGCATCCCATAAGCACGAGGTTAGATGGGAAGTTTTTGCGGGCGATGAATAATTTAACAACGCTTCGATGTACGCGCGGTACGCATAAGCGTTGTTTGGAGGCGACACGAGCTTTTGATTGAAATACACGTCGATTTGATTGAAGATGGAATGAAGAAAATGATTTACGGGGCCCACGTTGACGCCTGATCCGGCGGCGAGACCGGGTAGCGGCTCGGTTTCTACGCGTACCCGAAGACTTAGTAACGTGTGTGTGAGATCTAAATATTCTTCTCCGTGACCCGGGATGACGAATTCTAGCGGGGAGTCGTCCGAAAGCGAGGTCACGGGTTTGTAATGAATCCATTGCGAACTTTCGATGCTAGTTTGCGTGGGCGGTAAAGAGAAGAG